GATATCTAATATAATGGGGGCTATGTTTCAACATGTAGGATATGGATATAAGCAATTCTAGACTAAGAATGTGTGTTTATGCTAGAATATTAAAATGTATGTGTGAAGTTTTCTGTGTAATGAGGCTGAGGCAGACTGGGACTTTCTAAGGCAAATGTTTACTACAGATCAGATACTAGCTACTGTCTTGGTAAGTTTTCTTTCTTTTTTTCTCTTTTTTAAGGCAAGAAAAGTGCTTCAGTGGTTAAGAGCACTGGCTGCTCTTACATAGGGCCTGGGTTTGGGTCTCAGCACCCACATAGCTGCTAACAACCATCTGTGACACCATTTTGAGGGAATCTGGTGTCTTCTGGTCTTGCACGTGTGGTGTATATGCACACACACAAGCAAAACTCATATACAAAAGTAAAACAAATCCAATTTATTTTCATGATTTAGGTATTTTGTAGAGGTCTATCACCTCCTCGCTCAGCATGTTTTGTGCTTTTTTATTTTCACATCTGTTAGAAGTAAGATTATGCTTCTGTTTTTGTTGTTATTGTTTCCACGAGTTAACCAAATATTTTTCAGGAAACTGTCTGTCATGGGCGGTATTCATTTCTATCAGTCACAGATTCTTTTTCATTTACCTACTTGGGCTTTGAATGGAAGATATTTCTCCTCTTCATATGCATTTATTTGAAAACTTTACATTTGAGCACAATCCTATAGAATAAAATCCCACCCACCCCCCCATGGATAGTAGAACACAGTATAGATATAAAGAGGGAATTATGAGAAGGCAGGCTTCAGTGAGGAGAGATATTAGAGTGCAGGGCAGAGGATGGGGGACAGGGAATGATAGCATTAAAGATATTTGAAAAGACATTTAGAAACTTATTTTATTGACTTCTTCCTCCTCCTCCTCCTCCTCTTCTTCTTCTTTTCTTCTTCTTCTTTTTCTTTCTCCTCCCCCCCCATCTGTGTGTGTGTGTGTGTGTGTGTGTGTGTGTGTGTGTGTGTGTGTGTTTAGATATAAGAATTTAACTGTGGGGGGCTGGAGAGATGGCTCAGCGGTTAAGAGCATTGCCTGCTCTTCCAAAGGTCCTGAGTTCAATTCCCAGCAACCACATGGTGGCTCACAACCATCTGTAATGAGGTCTGGTGCCCTCTTCTGGCCTTCAGGCATACACGCAGAAAGAATACTATATACATAATAAATAAATAAATAAATAATTATTTTTAAAAAAAGAATTTAACTGTGGTTAACCTACACAAAGGAATTATGCTTCTTTTAGAAGCACAGTGTCAGGGGCAGGGTACTTTTCCTTAAATTGTTGGTCAGAAGTGTTTTGGACACTGTTCAAACAATATAGGTTCAAATTGCTCATGGTTGCCCACCGGAACTTGATGTTTAGACTGAATTCCAGAAGATACTATAAACACTGGTTACAGGTCATGGAGAAATCAAGTTGGTAGTGAGTGAAGCTCCTTTTCTGATGACTAGCTTTCTTTTTCTTTTTTTATTGATTTATATTGAACTCTATATTTTTCTCTGCTCCCCTCCCTGCATCTCCTCTCCTCCCTTTAGCCCTCTCCCCAAGGTCCCCATGCTCCCATTTTACTCAGGAGATCTTGTCTTTTTCTACTTCCCATGTAGATTAGATCTATGTATGTCTCTCTTACGGTCCTCATTGTTGTCTAAGTTCTCTGGACTATACAGCAGGAAAAAAAAAGACATCTTGAATTTTGCAGGAAAATGGATGGAGCTAAAAATCACTATTTTGAGTGAAGTAATCCAGATACAGAAAGACAATTATCACATGTACTCACTCATAAGTGGTTTTTAAACATAAAGCAAATAAAATCAGCCTACAAATCATAATTCCAGAGAACTTAGACTAGCTTTCATAGTACTGGATGGTGCTATTCAAGCTGCTGGAAGAGAAAAGCCAGTTACAGTCTTACCTAGATATGACCCTTGTGGGCTATAAGAATGATTACTGTGGCAAGATATGTCCATAGGCACAATAGTAGCACAACTGTTACAGGGCTAACCAATTTCTTGAGTATAAGCCCTGCTTTGTGAGGAAAAATGCTTGCCTGGTTCCTTAAGTTTAACCAAGAACACACACCCCAGAGGTAAAATTGCTGTTATTATCCTGCTACATGGATACAGTATGAAACTACCCTTTAAAGTCATATCTCTCTACCCATAGATGAGTGCAGCTCTCAGACCACATGACTTGATATGGTATGTTTTGTTGATAGCAATGGGAAACCTGCCCTTTCGTGAACAGAACCTGAGGAGGAGTGAATTGGGAGATGGGAACAAAGGGGGAATGGAGGGAGGGACTGAGAGGAGGGAGAGGAAATCACAGCTGGAGTGTAAAAAGAGAGACAGGGGGGTGGGGGTTCTTTAACCAATGGATGACAATTAATTCAGAAATACCCAGCTTATCCACATGTAGAGATAAGTGTCAGTAGAGTGCTCTGAGAAAATGGGTATCTTACTACCTTTTTCCAAGTCTTAGGGACTATTGAGGAAGAGGGAACAGAACAATTGTAAGAACCAGAAGGTGAGGTGGGATCCAAATGAAATGTCCTGTGCAGAAAACTACAGCTGCTGTGTGTTTGCACAGGACTCACGTAAGATCAAGCCAGATAGCATTCTGGTATGGAGGTTCCCCGACTGTGGAAATACTGGCAGATGGTGGCTTCTGGGGGATGGAGATTCGCTTTTCTTTACAAGGGTGGCCACTGTTAGATCTGTGAGTATAGGGCCAGCACAAATTGGACTCAGTTGGCTTTTAAAAATAAAGGGATAAGAGAAATGGTGAATAGAACTGGGGAGCATTAGGGGGAGTAGTAGTGGGAAAATATAACCAAAATTCATTGTATAAAATTCTCAAACAGCTAGCAAAATATTATATTAAAGATTTACCCCTCATTTGTCTTGTGATTTTATTATTTTCATTTTTTACCATTCTATGTGATCATTCTACTTCATGGGGATCAATATATGGTGTAAATTTGGAAGTATTCCACATATTGTCAGACTCTGCTTTTCCTTCAGCATACACAGTAACATAAATTCTAGAATACTGTCTTGCCTAAAATCCCCCTTTGCCTGGAGATCTCTGAAAAGAGCTGCTCAGACATCTACTTATGTGGTGTGGTACTGTTTACCCAGAGTACGAACCATTGGACATGGCCTGCTACTGTGTACAGGGGAAGGATAATGACCTACTACATCTGGGTCAACACATATATGACTACCTGAATCACAAATCAGATAATAAACTCTGCTTTAAGTTCATGTGAGCAACTGCCCTGCTGTGTCGCGGAAACACTTCCTTATAGTCATCCATCATCTTAGTCATTACCAACATATAATGCAAACTCACTCTGAATGCAACACTAATATAAATTGAAAGGTATACATTGATGTGTTAGGAGGAAATGAAGGAGAACCCCTTACAACAGGAAAGGATGTTCAATAAAGCAAATGTTGACTTACAATGGAACATGTTCTATGGTGTTTTGTTAAAGGCATTTCCAGGGTGGAAATCATGATGTTCTCTTTCAGGCTTGCTTGGCTCTACATCTGAAATCCAAATGGGCATAAATCTGTGATCCTTGATGTGCAGCTGCACTTACATGCTGAGAAATCCACACCGATAACATCATGCACTTTGGAAAACACACGCAACAAACACCCTCTGATTTGAAAACAATCATAGGCTCCATTTCTCTTTTCAAAACCAAATGCCTGATTCTGAGTACTTTATGGGAAAGCTAGGAGGGCATGTTCAAATCCATGTTTCAATAATGGCAAAAATCAGTGGAGCTCATAGAGTACGTAGAGATCAAAAGAACAATGAAACCCCAAAATTTGTTTTTCAACAATTCATTATTGTGAAAACTTAGGCAAACCAGGGGACCAATGTTAACCCCATCCAAAGGCTATCATCTCAGGACATAGGCATCTTTTTCTACTGTTTGCCTCCTAAAAGCTGCCCAAAACCAGTATTTTTATTCTGGTGACAAAAGTTTTAACAAATGGAACTTTCTGGAAAAACTCAAATCATATCTCAGCCACAACACAGGAGATTCAATAGAATAGCATTAGAATAATTTTATATTTATGAGGTTGAATTCTATAACCAATATTAAAAGTATTGAAGAAATTAAAGCACATGGAATTTTAAAAGCCAAATGTAAAAGTAAAAAGTGAGAAGCCAATCTGTGCTGTGAGATGTCACAGTAGTTAAATCTCAGTTTGGTTATGGAAGGCAGATAGTGATGCCTTTTGACACTGACGTATTCATTTTCAATGTAGGAGCTGCATGCAGAGATGAGTTCAGGCAGGGGGTTGTATTGATCAAGGCATGTCTGACTTAGTCATGGAGGTTTTTAAATTGTCAGTGCTTATCAAATGCATCTACCATTTCATGGAAAACATCAGACCCATTGATTGCAATTGTTGAGCTGAAATACTCTGTGACTCAGTTTGCATGACTGGCAAAGGACCAGAGTTCAATTTCCAGTAACCATGTGGAAGCTGACCAAACTGTCAGAGGACCAAACTTCCTCTACTGGACTCCTCAGACACCAGACATAAATGTGGCGTGCAGATACACATACAGACAAAACAGCCATGCACATAAAATATGAACTATTTTTAATATACTTTGTCATGGTTATAATTAGTTCTCTTTTAAAGTATAAAATCACATTTTCATTTTTCTTTGAAATGTATATATGTTACGCTTGATTTTTACATATTATTTCTGAATGGAAAATATACATGATCTGAGTGAATACATGTTCATGTGTTCATGCACAAAAGTATACACAAAAGTATGCACAAAATATTCACATACATATATATCTGACATAAAAGTTTCTTTGCAGAACACAACCACTCATAGATGTTAAGTATGCTTATATTGTGATTAAAATTCTGTAGATTTGACTAAGAACAAATGAGGATTCTTTAAACTTTATTCACATATTTATTATAAAGTTAGGGAGGATTTTCTGTTTTCTATCCAGGTACAGCAAGGCATGGATGAACTGAAGCCATGTCTTATGAGCAGAAAGGGGCTGAGACAGGAAAAACACATGGAGAATATTCCAGTGACATTTACAGTCAACACACCAGGATCAAGCAGAAATGTTAAATAGATGGTAAAGAGAGAGGAGAGTGTGTAAAAGAAGACAAAGGTGCTCACCAGGAGAAGGATAGTTCGGGTAGCTCTCATCTCAGGGGAGGATCTGGAGGAGCTCCTGGTCCTGGGCATGCGCTGCATCCTCTGTTTGTGCCTATGCAGGATGAGAACCATGGAACTGCTGGCCCATAGCATGAGCACCATGCACACAGCATCAGGAACTGTCATGTAGATCACATGGAGCATTTCACCAGGTTCCTCCCAAGGAAAAGAAGAATAGTGTATCGAATCCTGTGGATGAGTGAAGTTTGTATTGCACAAACTACCAGTCATGTGCTCAAGTATATCAATATTTACCAGGAGGGACAGGATCCAGGCCAAGTATATGTAGGGGATAATGAATTGAGGAGTTTTAATTTTGATTCCTGGCCAACTGGAATGCCTTGGTCTGATGGTGATGGCTTGGAATACACTTGATAGGCAGATACTGCCAAATGATACACCTCTGCCAACTCTGTGAAAGTAAAAAAGTAGCTTGTATCCGGAGTCATTGGGGAAACATTTCACACCAAAAACCACCATTGTCTGGGGCACTCCTTTACAGAAGAGTGTTAAGAAGTTGGCTAAAGTTAAATGCATCAGAATCAAGTCCTTGGCCTTTAGTTGGTGCTCCTTGAAGTAAAGCAAGAGATAATTGTACACAAGGTAGGAATTGCCTGAAACTCCAGCCAAAGTTTGGAATAAGAAGATGATTCCTACAGCCATGTCTCCGTCCCTCATCCTGTAAGTTACACATTCTTGAGCTGTATGGGAAGATGAGGTAAGTATATGTAGGTCAAGTATATGTAGGGGATAATGAATCAAGAAGCTTTAATTTTCATTCCTGCCCAGGAATAACATACCAACTGTGTAGAAGGAGCTGCGGGCTGCATTCCTGCCGCCCAGCTCCCAGCCACCTGGCTAGCTTATGCCCCAAAATAACAACACACAAATTGTATTCTTTTAAACACTGCCTGGCCCATTAGTTCTAGCCTCTTATTAGCTAACTCTTACATTTTGATTAACACGTTTCTAATAATCTGTGTAACACCATGAGGTGGTGGCTTACCGGGAAGAATTCTAGCCTACGTCCGTCTTGGACCAGAGCTCCATGGCATCTGCCCAAGGCATCTGCCTCATTGCATTCTTCCCAGCATTCTGTTCTGTCTACTCCGCCTATCTAAATCCTGCCCTATCAAAAAGCCAAGGCAGTTTCTTTATTAACCAATGAAAGTAACAAAAAGACACATGACCCTCCTCCATCACAACTGTATCTCAATACTCTCCATCTGTAGAGATTAGTCCCTCTGGACTTATTGTCAGCTAACACACTACAGTTCACTACATCATTTTGCCTTATTTTAACTAGTTTTAAATAAAAATTATAGCACTTTCCCCTTTCCCTCAGTCTCTCTTACATTCCTGCCCTCCAGCACTTAGCCTGCCTCCCCACTCTCAACTAATGGCTTCTTTCTCTTTGATTATTATTATCACATACATATATTCTTATTGTAAATACAATTACATAAAAATAATCTTCTGAGACCTTTTTTATTATTTGTGTATAAAGTTTTTAGGGCTGAGTTTCATTGGACAACCAATAAGGGGCTCATGCTTGGGAGAGGCATGTCCTTCATCTGGGGCTTAGGGAATATAATGGAAGAGGGAGTAGAAAGATGGTAAGAGCCAGGATATTAGGAAGAAACATTCTGCCTTAAATTAGCTGCATAAGCAAGTCTAGTAATGACAATATCAATGGACATGTTAATGTGGAAGGTGTAAAATTTCATAGGATCCCACTGTTAGACAAAGAACTATACCATAAACAGCTAATAACTTACATGCTATAATTTTATAAAGTATTTGCAGTGAATTATTTCCGGCTATGAGAAATACAAAAGATACTTTCCTCTTTTTACTCTAGAAGGTTAACACTACTAGGATGTCATGTGAGAGTATTAGGAAAATAGTTGAATACAGAGTGGTTAAGTGTTTCTGAATTCGAGCTTGGTAAAGGATAAAGTGCTGACAAGGAAGTGGTTGTCTATTAACAAACAGAGTACCTGTATTCAACAGGCCTTCAAATTAGTGCTTACTGGAGATCTTCATTATGTTGTGTATTTAAAAGCATGGTGTGGTGGTGCACATCTTTAACTCCAAACTTGAGAAGGCAAAGGAAGTTGGAACCCTGTGAGTTAGAGGCTAACCTGATCTACATACTGAGATCCAGGTCAGCCAAACCTATTGAGCTACTCAGTGAGACCCTTTTTTTTTAAAAGGTATGTACTTAATTTACCTTTTGTAACTTCTAATTATTCTTTCAGTGGTATTTTTCTGTAAGAAGCATCCATTTGCTTGTGAGTATTTATTGTAGAAACTAATACCAATTAAGATTGATCATTGAGATATTTGATCATGTTCATCAACATGGGATTTCCAGGGTCTAAATCATGATGTGTTTGTGCATGTGTGGGCATTTACTAGAAACTCACATTTTTCATATTTAAAATGCCAGAATGATGACTCTGTCACAAAAAAATTCAAGCAATCACAAGGCCATAATACTATGGTAAATAGGACCAATATAAGAATAGATTATAAAAGAGTCAAACCTCACAGAAAAGTGAGTGGAAAAATTGTCGAGCCAGAGACAGTGGATAATTATAATGGAACATTATTTTCTGTCCACAGCAGAGAAGCTGCACATATGAACTCATTGTAGCTGTGATAACATGCCCAAGACCTGTGTGAGCTCAACTCAGAAAAATTTTAGCATGGAGAGAGGAGTTGGGCATGAAATTTCAACTCTAACTGAGGAGCTATTGGCAACTAACAGCTGCTGGGAGAGTGAAAGTCAGTATTTTTTTTTCAAGCCACACACCCAGTAGTATATGGACAACACAAATTTGATTTGATAGGTAGAAAGAGAGAAAGAAAGAGGGGCAAGAATGAATACAAAGTTGGGTTGGTAAGGAAAGGAAGTGAGGTGGAACTGGGAGAAGATGAGAAAGGGTGTTAATATAATCAACAATATATGAAATCCTCAAAGAACTAATAAAGTATTACTAAAAGGAACAAAACAATGAAATACTGAAGTGCTAACTATTAGTGCAAATAAATAGTCCTTTCCCCATTGAAGCAGCATTGCTAACTGATGTTATAATATGCCTTGAAAACTGGCATATTTATGATATTAAGTTATACTAGTAAAAATGTGGAAATCCCACTGGACTCCAGAGAAAATCCTCTTGCCCTGTGTGCCATACAACAGGGGCAGGCATGCCCAGCCAACCAAGGTATGGGAGCACCTTGAAACCCCGAGCCCACCTGGGGCCATAGTGCTTGACTGAAAACTGTAATGATCCCTTTGTGATGGGGAAGCCCAGCAGGACACAATGAGCAGGTCTGGGTTAACTACCCCAAGTTCCAAGAAGAAAATGCGGGCCTAATTGGTACTTTGTACTACCAGCCAAATTGGCATTATTAGTGTGAGCAGAGATATGGTGGTTCATGAGAGAAAGAGAGAGAGAAAATGGTTCAGGTCCCCTCAGAGGCATAACTAAAGAGATGAGAGAGGAAGGGAGTGAGCTAAGATGGTGAGGGAGCTGAACTTTGACCAGTAGCAACACACTGGAAATATTGCCCTGCACTTTATCTAGGCAGCACAGCTGCTCAAGCACAGAACCAAAAATATGACTTCGGCTGCCCCATCATCCACCTCCTCTACAATTCATTGGAGCAAGTGAAGGGACCTGACCTGCAGACCCAAAGCTGCAGGATCTCCCCAAAACAGGGCAGCAACAGGCTATCCAGGAGGAGCGCAAGAGTACAAACCAGAACCTCAACCCAGACAAATGATTTTTTTGCAATGAAAACTGGCAGAGAATTGAAAAAAAAAAAGTGTTCATGGTGTGACTCATGATGTCAAACTACATCTTTGATGAGATTTTTAAGTTTTTCCCTTTCCTATTTTACTTTTTAATTTATCTTATTTTCCCTTTAATTTTCTTTTATTTGGGAGTTTGTGCAAAAATGGAGGGTGGATGCAAAGGGACAGGGAAATGATTGGGATCAAGATAGATGATGTAAAAGACACACTAAATAAATAAATTTGAAATCAAGGCTGGAGATATGGCTTAGCAGTTAAGAGGACTCACTGTTCTTCCAGAGTACCTGAGTTCTCTTATCAGCACTTATATGGTAGTTCATACCTGTAAATCCAGTTCCAGGGAATCTAATCCCTGTTCTCCCTTTCTTGGGCACTCCACTCACACAGTTCACAGACATACATGCACCAAAACACCCAGGGATAAAAATGAGGTTCCAACTCTCTACACACACAACAACAACAACAACAACAAATGACTGAATAAAGCTGGGAGCTTCATCCCATGGACTTGAGAACATGTACTGAAAGAATGCATAGTCTTAGAAAGGCCAAGCATCCAATCCAGGAATCTAGAGGTGTGGACTGAGCAATAGACTGATTTTCAAACACCTTTAATTAATTAAAACAAACTTTCATTACCTCAGATTAAATCCAAACAACTGTTGCTATGGACTCTTTTAAGGAGAAGCAGGTTATCTGTGTAATCAGGACTCAATGTCTCTTTGCTGCCTAAACTTTTTCTTTGTACTCTTCATTTCTTATATGGCTTTGTGATCTACCTGGTCCAATCCCAGGTCCAATTTGCTGGTCTGATCACTTACCAAGACTCTTGAAACAGACTTTCACTTATGGACTCCTCGTTTCAGACAGCAGGTGGATAAATTCACCACAATCGTTTTCCTGTCCGGGATCCTGTTGTCAGTTCCACAGTCCCTAAACAGTCTGTGAGCTAAAGAGAGGCATCCAGTGCCTGGTATATGAATGGGTCTGTGATTCTGTGACCTCACCTCCCCTTAGACCTTCAATTATCTTTTCACTTGCAGTAGCAAACAGACATGCAGGTGTGAGCAGTCAGAGAACCTTTCTGAGAATTGTTTGTCTCAGGTGAAAGGGTAAAATTTTCTTCCTCTCTGAAGAGAATTTTGGAAGTGAAGATGATGGTCTTCTAGCTCTTGATAGGTGAAAGACAATATGTCACTGGGAGGGAGCAGGAGATACTGAGGTTGGACGTGGGAAGGACTGGCAGTGAACTATAGAGGTCCCATTGCATTATTTCTTCCCATGAGGAAACTTAGTTATATTCTGTTTGTGAGTCTAGAAAGCAGTGGTTCTCAACCTGTGGATTGTGACCATTTGGTGTCATCTAAGACCATTGGAAAGCACAGCAGCCTTGTGTCTGATAACTTCAAATTTTCCCGGAATAAAAACAAGTTCACAGGAACTGAAACTTAACTCGTTTGAGGCCCTGACCCCAAACCCCAAACAAGACCTTTCCACATCTGCTCCTTGGAAAGGACCCAGAACTAGGTTCCTTTTGTCCTTTCATTGGACTCTCTGAGAAAGCCTTAGACCTGGTTCTCAACAGTTGATGCTAAAGCATTTCATGTTTTGGGACTTAGAAGGCTTGATGAATGGGTTAAGACACTGAAATTAGATGAGCATGTCCAGACAGGGGCAAATGGAGCTTAGTCTTGTGGGAATGGCCTAGGAGAATCAATTGGAATTCCAAAGGAAGACAGAAGAAGGCATTAGATCCCCTAGAAGTGGAATTAGAGTTGGTTGTAAATCACTATGTGAGGCCTGGAGTTTGAGACCAGAGGTAGTAACTCTGAGGATA